TCTACGACTCACAATGCGCGAAGCTCAGACGCAAGTGTTTGAACGAAAAAAACTAGCACACCAAACCAGCTTACCTGATGCGGGGCATGACCTCTTGCGGTTGGATACACGCCGGATCATCAAAGAAGGAGGAATTGACCCTTGGGGTAACTGGATACACGAGCAAGTCCATGCGGGGAAGTTTTGCAATCATTTCGGCAAGAAAAGAACGCACCTAAGTAAATAAAATAGAAAACGGAAGAGCGTTATGCAGCCTAGTTAGGCGAACAGACAGTCTAAGTTTCGTGAAGGACAACCATACTGTCCGAAGCATTTGAAATAAATATACAACTGTAAGGACGTTCGCCATGACGGGGGAGATCGCGAGTTCAAATCTCGGTGTGGCAGCAATTTAAGCGGCGACACTGGGGTTGGGTATCACTAACCGATGACGCCTAATAAGGCAGAAAAGGCCTTCATAGTGTCCCGTGTCTTTGCTGGTAATATCCTTCTGCCTATATCCTAGCCACCTCGTGGTGGAGGCTCGAGAGAGAGCCCTAATGGCAATATGGACGGACGAGTGTGTCCTCTGACAGATCGGCGTACGCATATATGCCACTATATACAAGAAAATAGAAAGGAATATAGGGTCATTAAAACTTTCCGAAAAATCAACACGACGTCCAAGGATTAGCCATTTTACACCCACATTTGCATTCAAGGGACCAAGTACACCATGACGCATGAACGCAACAAAAGACAATAATAATCGCGGTTTGGAGGACTTACCTCACCCGCAGATGCAAGGTCTCCCTGTACCCATCGAATTGCATCATCGAAGTTCGAAAATATAACCTTGAGAGAATGGTTAATCGATAAGTAGCCAAAACCTACCGGCATACGATTGTGGATAGAGGCGACTTCATTTACGGCATCTGTAGTTATCACCGTGTAGGAGAAGAGCTACCAATAAGTGTGTGTATAAGTGCGCAAAAACAACCCACATCGCGGTTCTTACTGATGGAGAACAATCCGGCCATTAGTAGGAGTTGTTCATTGCCACCTACATATAGGATGAATATATTGAGCTGTCAGTTTACCATCTACGGAGATGAAGTAGGGCTGC